CTGCCTGACACACAGGATACCTGAAGAAATTAAACAGCCTGCAAGCAAACAGCAAAAGCTGGTAAGAACAGGAAAGACAGCTTGGTTGGAAAAGTCCTAGCCACATAAGCCTGAGGATCTGAGTTCGAGCCCCAGTACCTACGTAAAACACTTGTTATTCTAGACTGGAGAGGCAGGGACAGGCAAGTCCCTGGGGGCTCCCTGCCAGCCTGCCTAACCTGATTGGAGAGCCCCAGGTCCTAGGGAGAGACCTGTGGTAAAAACCAAGGTGGATGAGGAGCAACACTCAAGGCTGACCTCTAGCTCTCATGTACATGCCGGGCACTGATGCAAACACTGGGTCATGATGTCCTATAATGCCAATCTTTCGGCACCTGTACTCTACAGATGAGGCGAACTGCAGCTCCTGTCCTTCCCCAGGCTGGCCTTGACCTCATCCTCCTGCCTCAACCTTCCAAGTAGTAGGATTACATAATGTGCAACAATACTACCACCTTAACTTTATCTTTTATCTAATTTATTGCTTTATAGTTTGAGACAAACCATCATCTCAATAAAACACAGTCTCACTCTGCCAGCCTGGCTGTCCTGGAACTTGCTATGTAGACCAGGCTGGCTGAGAACTTAGAGATCCATCTGCTTTGCCTCTGCCTCCAGAGTGCTGGGATTAAAGGTGTGCGCCACCATGCCTGGCTACCTTTATTTTAAAAACCATGAGTTACACCTGGTAAGAAACGTGCCCAAGGACACAGTGCTAATAAAAGCAGGGATTTGACCTGTGATTCCTAATTCCCTTTCCAGGTCACCAGAACTGCTCCGCTCACTAGCTCCCTCTCTCCTGCTCTCACTGACCATTTCCAAGGCACTTATGAAGTCTCTAATTTTAAACTCTAGTTTTATTATTACGTGTGTGTGTGTGTGTGTGTGTGTGTGTGTGTGTGAAGGTGGACACAGGAATGCCACAGCACACATGTATGTAGATGTCAGAGGACAACTTTCAGGAGCTGGTTCTCTCTGTCCACCACAGGCCCTGGGGATCAAAGTCGGGTCACCAGGCCTGCACAGCAAGTGCTTTTACCCACTGGGCCATCGCGCTGGCCCAGATTCCTCAACTCTCAACTGCCTACCCTAGGGCACTCAACTGGGCATTCTCCCCCAACTCTCATGGTCACATCCCCAGCCCATTAGCCCCCACCTCCTCACACAGCTGTGTTTCAGCAGTAGTCTGCAAAGACCCCCTAGTGGAGTATGTAAATAGAGAAGGGATGGTGTCTAATTCTTCATCAAATGCCAGCCCGCCCAGCCCCTGACAAAGTAGAGCAGGCATGTCTTCACAGAGCTCAGAGAAAAGCCTGCAGCTACATCCAGCTTGCCTGGCCCCAATACTGGCTCTATCCACTGCTCCTTTCTGCCTGTGTTCATAGAGCTGAGTGCTCCAAGCATGGACGGTGGGAGACAGACCACACCTCCCAAGGATACTTGAGATCTGTGACATGAGAAGCTATGACCCCAGGAGACCTAGGAGAATCGGGAGTTCAATCCTTAAGAAAACAAGTCCAGGGCTGGCTCAGTGGGTAAAGTGCCTCCCTGGCATGTGCCTCCCTACATACACTGCACAGGTGGGCATGCCTGTGATCCTAGGCATTGGGAGGTAAAGGCAGGAGGATCAGAAGTTCAAGGTTATCCTCAGCCACATAGTGAATTCAAGTTCTGCCTGAAATACAAGAGACCCTGCTTAAAAAAACAACCAACCAACCCAAACAAAACAACAAGTTTTTGTTCCGGGGAGCCGAGTGACAGAGACCAGAAGAGGCCAGCAGGAGAGCAGGCGACACTATAAGGGAGGGTCCAGAGGCCTGGCCTGGGGCACAGAACCTTCAGCCCCGAAGATGCCAAAGAAAAACAGAAGCAAAGACTAAAGAGAAACCAGGGACCCAAGGGGCAGCCAACAGGAAGGAGGCAGGTCATCTTGGAGTTATTTGCCAGAATGAAGGAAGCAAGATGCAGGCTGACGATATGGCCTCATGATACAGGGCTATGCATGTCACTTCCTCTCAAACTTTCGAAGGCTCTTTGTTGACCACACCAGGATCAAATCAAAACCCTCTGAGAGGGGAAGCATGACAGGCCTCCACATCTGCGCAGGGCTCCTGCCTGCTACCTAGAGCTCTCCTCTTCCTCCTCAGTACCGAACCCCCAGTCCTCCAGGACCAGGAAGGCATTCAGCACACCCCATGTCAGAGGGACAGAACAAAGCTCACCTGTGATCTGAAAGGCGAGCCCCACCTCACCCGCTGGACGATGAAAAGATAATTCACGAGAGCACTTGGAACTGGGCCTGGCACACAGTAAGTGCTCAGGAAACAAGTCGTTGTTCCTCTTCCTCTGGGCCCTTCAGAGCCCTCTTCCTACCACAGGTAGAGCACTGTCTCAAATGTATTAGTTACATGCTGGGCTACCTCAGCCAACCACAGCCTTGGACAGGAGGGCAACCCAGGACTCTGGCCTCACTTCCCTGATGGCCAGCAAATTCAGGGCACACAGGAGATATTCAGGAGGTATCTACTGCCCCCCAAAAGCCTCAGCCAAGGTCCTGGGGCAGACCCCACACAGAACTCTGAGAGCCCAGCTCCAGGCCTCCCAGCACTCACACCAAATCCCCAGTCTCATTTGCTGCTACTCACTTTCAAAACAATAAAGGGCTGTACCTGCCTTGCCTAGCAGTTTCTACTCCAGGGAACGGAGAGAGAGAAATGAGCACAACAGGGACTGGAAATAGCACTGAGCCCCTCTTGGGGAGAGGACTGGGCAGGCCAGCCAGCAAACAGGAGCAAAACCTCAAAGACCGAACGGGAGGGAGCTGAGGACATAGCTCGGTGGCACACTGCCTTCCTGGAGTGCCTGAGCCCTGATTCAGGCACAGGACTTTTAAAAGAGAGAGAGAAAGGGAGAAAGCAACCCCTAGACAAGAGTCCAGGTCCACAGAACTCAGCCAATGCCCTGAACTAGGACAAGCTGCTTACTCACATCCTTCCCATCTAGAAGCTCTTCTAGTCTTTCCTAGTACAACCCACTACCCTGGGAACAACTTAGAACCCATCCCCCCAGGACTGCAAAAGGGCACCCAGGTCAGCCCCTGGGAGATATTTAGAGCCTCTCTGCTCACACCGGCCAATGGAGTCACCATCTATGTCCACCTCCCCGACAGACTGGGAGCCTCTAGAGGCAGGTAGCAGGTCCTGTCCCTTCGTCTTCTACCCCAGGGACTGCAAGGAGAGTGTATGAGCATAGCAGGACTGGAGACAGCCCTGAGGCCGGCACACAGTAGATGCTCAGTAAGTTACAAGGCGACTTGACAAGACAGTCCCTGACTCAAGGATGACGGAGTCCACCAGAGCCTACTTGTATCACACTGACAAGTGAGTCACTAATCCCCTCGCTGCCTCAGTTTCCTCATCCAACAACTATGCACAATACTTTGCTCACACGGCTGCTGTGAGAACCAACCGGGAAAATAGACATGGGAAGCAAAACACCCCTGAGGAATGTCAGTCACCCAGCTTGGGCTCAACTGTCCCTTTGTGCTGAAGTCTTTTTTGCTGGCCGGCTCCCCCTCCCCATACCCAGCACTAAACCCACCTCTGCACTCCTCTGCCTTTGTCTTGTGCTTCTGGAAACCCTGTAGTTACTTGTGTCCAAGTCTGATTCTACCCAACCACCTGAGAGTTCCCAGATGCCTGGATCATCACATCTGTGTCCTGGTGAACACCAGCCCGACTTCTGGGGCTCCCACACCCTTCCAACTCTGGCACAACACAGAACTCTCAAGATGTTCAGACGTGTAGCGCCCAAGAGCCCACCAAACTTGTTGACATGGGAAAGGATGCTGCAAACAGACTGTCAAGAAAGCCAGACCTCAGCTGTGGTGGCACACACCTTTGATCCCAGGTCTCAGGAGGCAGGAGGCAGAGGCAGGTGGATTTCTTAGTTTAAAGCCAGCCTGGTCTACAGAGTGAGTTCCAGGGCAGCCAGGGCTACACAGAGAAACCCTGTCTTTAGAAACAAAACGAACAAAAGAAAAAAGAAATCCGGACCTCCAAGACCTGCACTTCTGATGCTGCTCCGGCTGCTGAATGTGTGTGTGTGTGTGTGTGTGTGTGTGTGTGTGTGTGTGTGTGTGTGTGTTGGCGGAGTCTGCAGCATTAGCCTCCAGGGCACAGATTGCTACTTCTCTCCTTACATACAGCACCTGGCAGTCAGATGAATAATACATGGCCCTTCACCTCACACAGAGGTATCAGGCAGGCAGACACCTGCTTTGCCCCACCACGGCCTGCAAGGGAGGGAAGGATGAGATGCCCCGGCCTCATACAGTCCCCCAGAAAGGATACAGACTAGAAACCCGGGCCCATTCCCCAGACTCTCTTGCATTGCCACTGCCGGGAGCCCCTTAGAAGTGGAGTCTCATCCAAGCAAGGTGTCCAAGGGCGTGCCCAGGAAAACAGGCACAACACACAAGTCGGATGCACACTCTCAAAACCATCTCCAGGGTTCCTTTGAACACCAACATCCTGAGGGCCCCGCATTCCTATCTGTCCCCCTCCAAATCTACTGACCTGTGTGCAAGGCGCTCACACTCCCCCACGTACGCTTGTACCGCCTCGAGGGCCGACTACCTGGCCAGGTCAAGGCCACCGCACCGGGGACCGACGCCTCCCCGCCCCGTTCCGCCGTGCCAGGCTGGATGCAGCACACCCACCGCGGCGCATACAGTCCCACCGGTAAGGGGCTGGGCCCCGCGCCGCGCACCCCTGCTCCCCCACGGGCAGGTCCGGTTACTCTCAGGGCCCCGCCACGTTGGCGGAGCGGGCACACCCACGGGCCCCGCGGGGGCCTGTGCGTCCCTTCCTCCCCGCGGGGAGCCCCCAGCGTGGGGCTCTCCCCGAGACGCAGCCCTCGCCGGGTCCCCGCTCATCCCGCGCATCCCGCCGCCCGGGTACCTCAGGAGCCCATGGCGCTGGCGACTGCGGGCGGAGCAGGCGGCGCCGCAGCCCGGTACCTCCGCCGCCGCTGGCGCGTCCCGAGCCCCGCCGACTGCCGCCGCGGCGCGCCTGCGCACTGGGAGCGCCGCTGGCGGGGGCGGGGCCGGAGCGCGCGGCTGAGGTCACTCGCCGAGCCTTAAAGGGGCCGCGCGCGCGCTGCGAAGCCGCGTGAGCGAACCTCCGGTCGGGAGGACGGCTCTGTCCTCTCGCAGCTCGCAAACGCACTGGGAGAGACCTAAGGCCCAGATTTCCGAGTCCCACCCACCACAGCCCTGGGATGCACAGACTGACCCGCTGGGTACAGACTCTGCCCTGGACACCCGCGGGATGGCGAGCGCTTCAATTCTCTGAAGCCTTTTTCTGCGCCTACGCTGAAGGTGAAAGGAGATCTAGTGGCCGTTTGCGACGTGTAGGGTGGGTGTGGGACTATGGAACGGACTTCCACGGAGCGTTTTGTGCAGTTATGCAAAATGAAACTGCAAAGCACCAAAAGAGGCTTTTTTTTTTTTCCCCACTGCATCCAGCTCCCGTGGGTCCTGCCCCACCTCGTTCCAAGCCGCCTAAAGTAACTGAATTCTGCAAGTGTCGTTCCAGTCCCCTACCCCATTTTGATTTGCGCGGTCCCCACGTTTTGCTCAGTTAACTGAAATGCGTAATATGCAACCAAGTTTATTTTTATCTCCAGCTCCAACTGTCTACCGACGCCTCTTTCTTAGAGGGCTCAGTCGCCTCCCCTTCCACGCCCGTTTTCTAACAGCATTTCCCCCATCCTTGCTTCCAGGTCAGAAGGTCTGGAGTCATCCCTGAATCCCCCCTATCCACTTGGGCAGGACATCCTGTATCCTAGACTCTGACCTCCTCCACCCCACCCTACTGCAGCCATGTGATCCAGGCTCTGCCCAGGTATTGTGAACTAAGACAGCCCCGGATTCTCCAACCTTGTCCTCTGCCAGTCTGTGTCAATGTGGAAATCAGAAGGATTCCTTTAAAGCCTGGATCTAAACTGTTTAATCCCAGCACTCCAGAGGCAGAGGCAGGCAGATCTCTGTGAGTTTGAGGCCAGCCTGGTCTACAGAGGGAATTCCAGGACAGCCAAGGCTACACAGAGAAACCCTGTCGCGAAAAAACAAAGAAAAAAACAAGCAAACAAAACAAAAAACAGCTGAGGAGCGCTTGATTAGCATTCATTAGACCTTGGGTTTGATTTGCTTCACCACGACAATAAAATAAAATAGATTAAATAAATAAATAAATAAAACCCAAGTTAAACTATAGCACTTTGCTCAAAACCCTCCACTAGTTCCTCACTAAATTCCAAATAGAAGCCAACATCTTCTGATGTTCCCCAGGCACGCTGACCTCATCTCCTCCTGTCCCAGGACACAGGCCTCTTGCTGTCCCTACAGCCAGGTGAAGGCATTCAGCTTCCATGCCTTTGCACCTGCTGGGATCTCAGTTTCCCCAGACATGCCTTGCCTTCAAAGGCTTGCTCTGCTGTCTACACTAGGGCAGCCGAGGAGGCGGTGTTGTTCTGAGACAAGGGTCTACCGGAAGATTGCTGAGCCCCTCCCATGCGCTCCACATTCATGGAGTCTCCTATAAGCACATCGTTTTTATACTTTATTCTTCATCTTCTTCCAGGAGAAGATAAGTTGACTGTTGCATTAACATTTTCTCTGGGGATGTGAACAAACACCCAGCTCTGAGGAGGAGAGCGCCCACAACAGACCAACAATCCCACACAAGTCTCCCTCCATAAACCCGCCCGTGAGTTTATTGGGCTTACTTATGGCCACATGGGTGAGGGGTGACTGACAGCTGTCATATGTCAATCTCCCACTGCTGCATGTGGCCTCTGGGAGTGTTGGAGTATTTAGGAGGGGGACTCCTATGGAGCTATGAGGAGGTCATTGCTGTGCTGGATTGGGACCTTTTGGTGGAATGGCTCTTTTTTTTTTTTTCTTCAATCACTCATGCATCTGTAAGCAACCCTTCACTCTTGCTCCTAAAGGCAGCTGTAATAAATTCCCTGGTTCACCAGTTAGAATGGGCAGAATCATTCCTTCATTCTGTGGCTGGTGTCTTACCTGGGACGAGTAGATGTTCACATCTCCCCAGGAAAAATGCATGCAGCCAGGACAAAGATGTCTGACCTTTTGTTTCCTGACATAAACCAGTACTCAGCATTGGGGTTGGCGTGGCAAACATGTGCAGAAAATACCTGTGACATGTACAGCTATCATAGCTAGGTCCGAAGGGGAAAACCCCGTGCCGGACACACGGCGGCGGCGGCAGCTCAGGGGTAATGGTGCTTGACAACCTGAGTTTGACCCCTAGGACCTACATGATTGAAGGAAAAAAACAGCTCCTACAAGTTGTCCTCGGACCTGTGTGCACACACAGTGACACACACACACACACACACACACACACACTCACACTAAATAAATAATTTTTTTTCCCAAAGGGGGGGGAAAGCCAGGAATAGTAGCACACACCTTTAATTGCATCACTGGGGAAGCGGAAACAAGTGGATCTCTGTGAGTCGACACCAGACTGGTTGTAGCAAGTTCTAGACCAGCCTCGGCTATGTAAGGGGTGAGACAGTCGTTCAAAAAAAATAAATAAGCCGGGCAGTGGTGGCGCACACCTTTAATCTGAGCACTTGAGAAGCAGAGGCAGGTGGACTTCTTAGTTCAAAGCCAGCCTGGTTTACAGAGTGAGTTCTAGGACAGCCAGGGCTACACAGAGAAACCCTGTCTCGAAAATCCAAGAGATTAATAAATAAATAATCAGAAAGAAAGAATGACGTCTTCCCAACCCAGGTCTAAAATCCCCATTTGTTCACAGCTTCCTGGTTCCCCCTCCAGACTTGCTACCCACCTAGGGCAAAGTCCTTGCCCCCAACTGTCACCATATCTACCCCACTGACAAACCAGACTGACAGCCCCTGCCCCTTTCCAGAGCTTGTTAATTCCTGCACCCCAGGGGTGCTCATGGCTCTCAACTTACAGAAGTCTTATCTGGCAGGGGCACAGGCAGGTGGTGGGTATTTTAGGCACCAGTTGCCAGAAAAGGCCCCCCAAACAGAAAGTCACCTGACCTGGTAACAGCTTTTGGCAGGTGGCACGCGGAGGCGGGGCAGGGCTGGTTGCTCCTCTTTGGGAGAAAAGCTCCACTTAGGCTGTCTAACAAGAAGCTTGAGGGCCAGCTTTCTCTCCACGTCTGCGGTCACCACCCTGCTTCAGCCTGCTTCAACCTCTAGGCCATTCTCCTCTACACCTGCCCATCAATGACGGAGGGACGTCTTTTCCCACCCGCAGCTCCACCCCCTTTCTATTCTGGGAACCACCAGCTTCCCTCGGGGGACCACAGCAGGTACCGTCTTCTTGTTCCTTTCCGTCCTTATTTGTTTTCTTATTCTGCGGCAGTGACTAGAACCCAGGGCCTCGGCATGCAGGGCACACTGCTGTACCGCTGAGCCATGCCACAGCCGTTTTGTCTTTGGGCCGCACTCTATTGCTCAGTTTAGCCTGGAATTTACTACGTAGTCCACCCACACTGGGCTCTAATTTAGGGTGATGCTCTTTCCTTAGCCTCCCAGGGTTACAGACCGCTCCCTGTACTTCTTTAATTCATTTTTCCCTAAGGAAACCTCAGAAACAACCTGGCAGCCACTGAAGAGAGGTTAAAGAAGCTGAGTGATCCACACAATGGCATTGAATGTAGATATTAAAACAGCCTCAAAGGCGCAAAGCTACACAGGGAAACCCTGTCTTGAAAAACCAAAACCAAAACCAAAACAAAAAACAAAAAAAAAACCAGCCTCTATTTTTTTTTTTTTCCGAAACAGGATTTCTCTGTGTAGCCCTGGCTGTTTAGGAAATTGTAGACCAGGCTGGTTTTGAACTCACAGAGTTCCATCTGCCTCTGCCTCTTGAGTGCTGGGATTAAAGACATGCACCATCACACGCTGCTGGGATAACAGCCTCATTATTATTATTATTTATTATTATTATTATTATTATTATTATTATTATTATTATTATTATGTGTATGGGTATCTTGCCTGCATGTCCATGCCTGGTGTCCTCACAAGGTGTCAGGGCCCCTGGAAATGGAGTTACAGATGGTTGTGAGCTGCCATGTGGGTGCTGGGAATCGAACTCAGGTCCTCTAAAAATAGCACCCAGTGCTCTTAACCACTGAGCCATCTCTCCAACCCCCTTAAAATTGTCTCTTAATGCAGCTGGAGAAAGGCTCAGTTGTTAAAAGCATGTACCACTCTTGCAGAGAACAGGAATTCCGTCCCCAGCACCGATGCTGCGTGTGTGTGTGTGTGTGTGTGCACACATATACAAATTTAGAAGTAATTACACAATCTGAAAACATAGTCTGTCAACATGATTAGGCTTGCTATGAAGGAAATTATTAGGAGTAATATTATATGATAAAGGCTGGAAGAAGTTTGTGGGGCAGCCTGGCTTGAACACTATTTTTAAAAAGTGCTGAAAGGAGGTGAGCAGGAGCTATAGCAGATGGGCTATCAAAGGATCCTCCTAAGTGGCAGAGTTATGAGTAGTGATTTTTTTTTCTAATTTTCCAAAGCATGTAAGATCTTCGAACTTAGCAGAGAGTTATTTCCAGAAGCGATGCGTTATCCCCATCTGTGTTTTCTTCTCATTGTGCATCACAATTCATCTGTCTGCTGGGGAGACAGAGGCTCTCTGCAGGGTGGGGATGCAGGTCCCTTTATCCCTGTAGCCTCCCATCCCCGGCTCAGTAAATAGCAACAGACAAAAAGTCCACCCTGATACTGGATGCCGGGAAGGAGACCAGAGTCCAATGTAAGGTTACCCCTCCTTCCAGCCCACTCCTGGCTTCTGACAGGGAGGTGTGGAGGGAAGAGCAGGGGCCTCTGGCATGCATGCTGATGAGGGGCCCAGCTCCCCCACAGCCTCTGTGTTATCCTCGGGTGTCCAAGTACACTGTAGGAGATCCACCCAGGAGGACCTTTGTTCTCTGAGCCTCAGTTTCCCCACCTGCCAGTATTTTACTGCTGT